ATAAAGAAATAAAATACATACTAAATTGGAGTCTCTGAGTAAAGATCCCCGGCTCACTAAATGTATATGAAGCTACCTTGAAAGGAGTCAAACTAGTATGGGTCAGTCAAGACCACGGCTGGGAAACTGCGGACTCTATACAGATGGCTGGAGCGCAGTTCCCATCATCCCCAGCCAGAATGATTAGGGATTCTGGATGATGGGAGTTGTTGTCCAAGAAAGTATGAAAGGTCACAAATTCCCCAGCCCTGGTTTGTTGGAGGAGGGGGGCAAGTAGAGTCCTCCAGATGTTTTGACTGCAGTTCCCAACTGGATTACTGTAATGTATGCTGCTTGGGGCTGCCCTTGAAGACAACCCGGGGCCTTCAGCAAGTGCAGAGCGGGTAGCTTTGGTCCTCCAATCTCCCATAATCCCTCGCTATTGTACATGAAGGGCAAGGCTAATGGGAATAATAGAACAAAAGAAGTAGATCATATTAATGGCTGCAAATTGCTGGAAAAAACCATCCTTTGGCACCTCCTCCGTTTCGAATAATAGAACAAAAGAAGTAGATCATATTAATGGCTGCAAGTTGCTGGAAAAAACAATCCTCTGGCACCTCCTCCGTTTCCCATGATCTGTCTGTCTGTCTGTCTGTCTGTCTGTCTGTCTGTCGATCGATCGATCTGTCAATGGATCTATCTATCTTTCTAGTCTGTCTCTCTGTCTGAAATATTTTTATCTATCTATCTATCTATCTATCTTTCTAGTCTGTCTGTCTGTCTGAAATATTTTTACCCTGCTTTTCTCCTTAAAATGGCCCAAGGTGGCTTACTGTATGAATATTTTAAAAGAATTCATCTATTGTATTAAAAATGGTAAATAAATACTAAAAATCCTGTTTTAGCACAACCACCCATTAAAAAACTGCCTGCCATTGAAGAAAAGCCTGCCAGAAAAGCCTTTATGCTTCCTTGCAGAAGGACAGCCTGGCCTCCAGTGGGAGGGAGTTCCAAAGTCTGGGAGCAGCCACCGAGAAGGCTCTGTCCAGTGAAGTGGGAGGGACCAAGAGAAAGGCCTCCCTTGATGATCCTAATGCCTGGGCAGGCTCATAATGGGAGACACAGTCTTTGAGATAGCTTGGACCTAAGCCGTTTGGGGCTTTATAGGTTCAAACCAGCACTTTGAATGGTGCCCGGAAATAGACTGGCAGCCAGTGGAGCAATGGGGGAGTTCTATCTTCCCTGTAAACAGCCCCAGTTAGAAATCTGGCTGCACCATTTCAGACCCCCCCCTTTGAATATTTTCTCTAGGCCTTGTACGACCAAAGGTACATAAGAGGACGGGACTGAAAAAGCTTTGATCATTGACATCCTCCACTGCCATTGACCCCTAACTGGCTAAAGGTTGTGGAGGGGCGTTTTCCTGCCTCCCCGCAGGACTCAAAGAATCCGCTAAGCTCCAGGTTTTCAGCAGAAAGTGCAGTTGTTGCTTAAGTGAGCACAGCAGTTTGGCTTGGCCGTTTGGGGCAGAGACAGAAGGCTAGGAGATGGGAAGGAAAGATGATCATGATGAAGAAAATAGCTGTGTCCAATTGGACGGTTTGGAAAGGGATGAATTTAACACCCCGAGTGGGAATTTCCCCAGGATACGGCTTTTTCAAAACAAATACATGTGCGTCTTGGGACCTTGTACGACCTTTCCATCCAGATCCAAGGCATTTTGGATGTGAACGGGGGATTGGGTCACCTCCAGACCAGTTGGAAGGCTGCCTGTTGGGCTCCCCAGTCTTCCAACGCTCGTCCTGTTGTTTTGCCACAGGCACAGGTCATTAGTCTAAGGAAGGTTTTGCAAAGAACAGGGGGAAGCCGCCCCCCCCGAGGATTTTGGACTGCATCCCTCATTGGCCTTAGCAATGGGTATTGCAACCCAAGAGCATCCACATTCTTCTTGACTGGCCTTGCACGTAGAAAAAGAAAACCTCCAAGTAACAAAAGAAAATTGAGGGGGAAAGGGGTGGCCATGAGGTGTGAAGGAAAATAGCGGAGATGAGGAGCACAGAAAGCTCCTGCATATCCAGTGAAACACTTGGTCTTGGATCTTAGCATTGTTGTAAATCCACAAAGCTGAATATGAGCCAACCGTGTGGCGTGGCTGCAAGAAAGGCCAATGCCATTTTAGGAGGCATTAACAGAAGTATAGTCTCCAAATCCCACGAAGTACCAGGTCCGTTCTTTTCAGCACGGGTTAGGTCTCATCTTGAGAACTGTGTCCCGTTCTGTAGAAGGATGCCAACAAACTGGAGCAAGTTCAGAGGAGGGAAAGAAAAATGATCAGGGGGCTGGAAACCAAGTCTTATGAGGAAAGGCTGAAAGAACTTGTTATTAGCCTTGAGAAAAGAAGACTTGAGGGGGAAGCGATAGCACCTTTCAAGCACTTGAAAGGTAATCGTACAGAGGAGGGGCAGGATCTACAGTCATCCCAGAGTGAAGGACACATAATAATGGTCTCAAACAGCAGGAAGCCAGATTTCAGCTGAATATTAGGAAAAAACGTCATAATTGTTAGAGCAGTATGACAGTGGAACCCATGACCTCAGGAGGTGGTAGAGCGCTCCAACGCTGGAAGCCTTCAAGAGAAAATTGGACCACCATCTGTCAAACCTAATTTGGGATTCCTGCCTTGAGCAGGAGGTTGGACTAGATAGCCTTAGAGGCCCTTTCCAACTCAATGATTCTAGGATTCTATGAATCTACGTCTTATAGCCCCTTCTGATTCCATGATTCTAGGATTCTATGAACCTACGTCTTATAGGACTTTGACACCTGTAGATCATCCCTTTTGGTCAAAGAAAAATCGGTCTACTTAGAAGCCCCAGTGCGAGAGTCTTGTCATGACAGATCATGGAACTTCTCATTCCATGACATCTAGAGGACCATAACTGCCTACCTCTGGTCTACCATGACCAGCCTCCATTCAATTGAGTCCTTTTCAGATGTTCCTAGAGATGCTGGAGGTTGACCATGGGAGTTTTGGCAGGGATTCTGGCACCAAGGAATAGAGGCTGGCAGGTCCAGTGTCAAGTGTGGTGTTTTTACTCCACATGAGCCATCAAAGGTGTCAAACCCCACCCCACCCTGAGCTGTCCATAGTGCTGAACTCTAATTTCAGCACCATGGACAGCACAGGTTAAGACCAGGAATGGACTCACTGCTTCTATGTCTTCAAAGTAACTGACTTCTCTGGCCACTTGCTTACGGCTCATCTGTCTTTAAAGAGAGCAATGCCAACCTCAAATCACAAAGCATAAGCCTGCCTAGGCCCCGTAGTCTCCCCTGTTCTCCTTCCATGCCTTAGAAGGTGGCCATCTATTATCATATGCTCAACTACCAAAACCCAAAACCATGAACTATGGACTATTCAATTCAGCCCAAGAGGTGGGGATATCTTAGGAAGGGGCTGTGATTCAAGATTTCCACTGAGAAAAGAGTGTGAAAGCTGGAGAGAGGCAGGAACTGCTGTTCCCACAGAGCAGGAGAAGACCCTTCCCATCTTGGTTTTGATACTACAGTAGGACTACATTTGTCCAGGAGGATCCCCAGAGTCGATGTGGTGATTTTGTGTACAGTAAGACCCCCTTATCTGCGGGATCATTATCCACTGAGTCACTTATCCATTTATCTAAAAATATTAAAAGAAAACCCCTAGAAATATATATATTTCTAAAGATGAAATGACCAGAACTGGCCATTAGAGGGAGCTAATGATCATGCTATGTGTACAGTTTGCTATTAAAATAGCATTTGCTATAATCCACGTTTTTCAGAATCTGTAGGGTTGGGTTTGGAGTTGGAACTGACCCTGCACAGATACCGGGCTCCTACTGTATTTTCATTTTATTTTAAGACTTTAGAGATTATATACTTGGAGCGGTTTCCTTTATGTTTTGGATGTCTCAATTCAGTTGATAAATATATCTGGGACTTATTAGTTCTTACTTGCCTTCAAAAAGACATTTGAATTATTCCCTGTTTCTTCGAGCAACTCCTGCTCGGGTGGCACTGATTAAAAGAAGTCTGGGTGTACTAATTGTAGCATTCAAGTTTTTTATTTCACTATTGATTTTGTTGTATGTGTTTGTAAATGCACATATACATTCATGCATACGTACATTTTGCAACATTTGTGTTAGCAATACTCATTTTAAATTCAGTTGATAAATATATCTGGGACTTATACAGTATGTACATTTTGCAACAATTGTATTTGCAATACTCACGAGCAACTCCTGCTCGGGTGGCACTGATTAAAAGAAGTCTGGGTGTACTAATTGTAGCATTCAAGTTTTTTATTTCACTATTGATTTTGTTGTATGTGTTTGTAAATGCACATATACATTCATGCATACGTACATTTTGCAACATTTGTGTTAGCAATACTCATTTTAAAGACAGACAGAGACAGACAGACAGACAGATAAATAGGTAGGTCGGTAGGTAGGTAGGTCGGTAGGTCGGTAGAAAGAAAGAAAGAAAGAAAGAAAGAAAGAAAGAAAGAACGAACGAACGAACAAACCAGAGAGTGTTACACGTAGCTGCCATTTCCAGGAACAGTATATTGCAATCTACCCCTGTTGTAATGCAGAGTATTTCAAGGTAGTTTTGTCTTGAGTGGGCAGTTAGAGCCATTGAGTTTACAAAAGACCTGCTCTTTGCTTGCTGAAATACAACAATCCATCTCCCTAAATTTTTGGATCTACCTTAAAGGGAGTCCTTTATGAGGAAAGGGAGACAGCTATGGAAGCCATCATACAAACATCTGCATTTCCAAGTGTACCCTACACAACTGTGTGGGAACAAAACCCATCAATTCCCTTCCAGAATATGGGTCTTTCTGAATATTCTATCAATTGCCAAAAGTTGTGTGTTTGTGGTTACCATTGGAGAAAGTGGCTGGCTAAGTGGGAGGGTGTTAAAAGTCAAAGACGCAGAAGATCTTCCCCCCAGAGGAAGGCTTTTACCTGTCTTGAGTCCCGTGGGAGCCCACTTTCTCGTTCTTCATGCAGAAATCCGGTGAGCTTTGCAGGTAGACCAGCTCCGTCTCCTTGACCGGACGGATGTCAAGATCCTTGGGAACCAAATGCTTCCGGGTCCCCATGGGCCGGTGCACCACCTTGGTGGCCGAAAGGTATTTGTTTTTTAAGTCCAAGGCAACGTCCCTCAAGTCCTGAAGCCCCTTCCAGCAAGTCTTGATGGAACAGGAGCCCGAGACGCCGTGGCATTTGCATTTCATTTCCAAAGACGCTTTCAGGGCCTGCAAGAACAGCAAACATAAAAGTCTGGAAGACGGATGCTCACCCTGGCCCCAACGCTCCTCGCCCTCCCCGCCCGAAAAAGAAGAAGGCTGAAAGAAGTATGTGTCCCCAGTGGGTTGGCAATCACAGCTGTGTGCCCTGGGTGCCGAGAGATGAATCAATCTCATTTGCATATAATTTGCATAGAGTTGGGAAAGCACTTTGATTTGGCTCACCGTTATCTTCCTTGCACCTCCCGCTTTCCTGAACTTTCCTGGCCCTCCTTTCTTTTCCTTGCTTTCTCTCCTTTTGCTTCACTGACCACAATTTAGACTGTAAGCTCTTAGGGGCAGAGAACTGCCCCTTTTATCTTGCTTATGTTAAGCTGCCACCTGCTATGCGCAGGGCAGCCCAAATAACAGCAGAATCCCGTCGTTTGGCTATATGGGCATAACTCAATGTTACACCAACAGGAGTTTCATTAGCACCAAGGTGAAAATGCTATCCACGAAGAACTTCTGCCGGCATACCGAACAATTAGTTGTGACTGTCTATATTTTATTTATTTATTTATTAAATTATATGCTGCCCACGCTACCAAAAGGTCTCTGGGCAGCTTACAACAATTAAAATACAATAAAAAGATAAAATAATTAAAATATAATTAAAATATATACAGTGGTGCCCCGCATAGTGACGTTAATCCATTCCAGGATTAACGTCGCTATCCGAATTCGTCGCTATGCGGGGGGAACCCATAGGAACGCATTAAACTCCATTTAATGCGTTCCTATTGGGGAAAAACTCACTGCTATGCGGGGAATCCTCCATCCGGCCACCATTTTTGCCACCCGGTAAGCGAGGGCAGGGCGCGAAAACGCTGTGGGCAGCCATTTTCTGCACCCGGCGGCCATTTTGGAACCGCTGATCAGCTGTTTGTAAAACATCGCAATGCGAAGATCGGTAAGCGAAATGCTTACCGATCATCGCAATGCAATGTTTTCCCTATCTAAAACATCGCAATGCGAGCGCAAAAAACGCGTCTCTATGCGGATTCGTCGTTAAACGGTGCACTCGTTAAGCGAGGCACCACTGTACTCTAAAAATTGCTATCAGGACACACTGATATATATTCCTTTTACTTCAAAATAGTAATAATTATTATTTCAAGGGCCCCTCTCACCCTCTAGGAGGTGTGGGAGAGCAATTTTGCCATGTTTTCTGACTCCATAATCAGTTTTGGTTCTATACAGTCCTTTCCCCTCAAAGGGGAATATATATAATATATATATTACCCTCTGTGCCCCCAGGGGGACAGGACAAGCCCTATATATATAAGCTGATCTGTTTTAGATCTATGGGGTCTTTATTTCAAACTCTGTAGCGACATGCAGTTTTTTTAAGGGAAAGGATTGTGTAGACCCAAAACTGATTATGGAGTCAGAAAACATGGCAAAATTGCTCTCCTGCACCTCCTCTCTAGGTGAGAGGGGCCTTTGAAATAACAATATTAATTATTTTGAAGTAAAAGGAATAATAGTTTGGCAAGACGACAAGACAAAAGACAATAATGCTGGGAAAAGCGGGATGCAGCAGGAAAAGAGGAAGGCCAGACATGAGATGGATTGACTCAATAAGGGAAGCCACAGACTTGAGTTGGCAAAACCCCAGCAGAACAGTGGATGAGAGGACCTCATGGATTCATAGATTATAAACTAGGAGCCACTTAATGGTACAACAACTGCTGCAGTTTGGGACGTGGGAAGAGGGTTTTGTGGGTAGGTGGCCATACGGAGCCCAGGTGGATCTCAAGACGTTACCCGCCCCAGGGTAAGAGATCCTCGAATGAAGGGCTGCCTGGTTCATGCGCCAAACCACCCTCTCCTGCAGCTCTGAAGAGGGGACTGTGGCAATGCTTCGAAGTTAACTCAACGCATGCGCCCTAAAAGTCTGTGAAACCGACCGTGTGGTTTGACCTATAAGGTGGGGAAGAAATGGGGCATAAGTGAGGTCTGCCCTAATTTCGTCCCCCCTGTTCCTGCCTGGAGCAGGTGTCCGCAAAACCACTGACACGGTTGTGCAAAGGTCGGCAACTGGCGGCCTGGAGGTTCAACACTACCCTAAAGCGTTTGAGATGGTAAGGAAGCTTCCCTCACTGCATCTGATTGCGTACTCCCTTTCCTTCTGCACAAAACCTTTGCGGTGTGAGAGCCGGAGTGGGACGGTGCAACTGAGCCACGACTGTAACTCAGAGCGGAAGGCTGTTCTGGGGGAACTCGGCCGGATCTCCGGCACACCGTTGTGCAGGCGAAGATCACCCCCTCGAAAGCGAAGGGGAGGTTCCTCCACATACACGTTCAGAAAGTGCCCCTCGACCAGAGAATTCGCCTTGCTCGACAAACGATTCCTCCAAGCAGGACCCCATCCCTGAGCTAAAATTCGGGAGATTTCGGATTTGAGACTCCACTCAGCCGTGGAAGTCCAAAGGTAGTGACCTTGGGCTAGGCAATTCCACACCCTCTGTCCAACCTCGGAGGGTTGTTGTGTGATAAAACTTGGGAGGGAGAACCATGGACGCTGCCTGAAGCAACCAACGTAGGAATAACATTTAACTTCCTCCGTGCCCAAGCAAGACAAATTTGCCTCACGGCAGAGTGATTACCTGTCCCTAGAGCTCACTCGAGCTTCCCCACAGCTTTGGAGAATAACCTTTTGGATGACAGTTCCCATGTTCCCCCAGCAGCCATGGCTTGCCTGGGCATGCTGGGAGTTGTGATTCAAAGAAGCGCTTTCCCAAACCTGGGTTTCTCCACAGAACAACCCTCCCACTGTGGACTCATACCGAGTTTCAACGCTGCGGTCCCTCGTTAGCCCCAGACGATGCTTGCGCGTTAACGACAACAACTCTCTCGGTTCGGTTACCTGTCTCCCTACTTCACTGTTGTGCAGATGCATCAGCTTATTGGCTTGTGATCCTGATTTTTTCATCTTCATGGGAGCATCTGAAAATTTGGACCCCATGACAAGACCATAGTTGAGGTTGTCAGCACATCCTCCCCAGCGATACCCCGGCCCAGGCCGCTCACCTGGGATGGGGCCGCAAGAGCAGCCGGGGAGGTCCCCGGTGGTGCAGGCTCTGGCGATGGTGTGGCTGATGGTGGCGGCAGAGAGCGCGTACACAAACGCGGACTCTCTGGTCCCTGGAAGACAGAACGGGGAAACCAGGCTCAACCTCAGTGGACCCGAGAGGGCTCAGCGTCCGCATTTACGAAGGCGTCACGACACAGAGCAACGGGACGAAGACGTATTCTCGAAGACTTTCACGGCCGAGATCCGATGATGGTTGTAGGTTTTTCGGGCTGTCAGGTCATATTCTGGAGGTTGTTCTTCCTAACATTTCGCCAGTCTCTCTGTGGCCAGCATCTTCAGAGGACAGGAGTCAGAACTCTGTGTTCTGGAGCAGTTTGTTTGGATAGTTGAGTATTTATAGCTGTGGGATCAGCTTTTGTCCTTTTCAGGAGATTGGGTGATTATGGTGATCAGGGTGTTTTTTTGTTGTGGGTGTATTGTTGTGATAAGGGGGAGGGATAGGTGTTCTGGACTCAGCTATCCCACACACTACCCCAGAACACAGACAGAGTTCTAGCTCCTGTCCTCTGAAGAGGCTGGCCACAGAGACTGGTGAAACACTAGGAAAAAGAACAAACCTCCAGAAAACAGCCTAATAGGCCAAAAACTCTACAACAACCGTCAGTACAAAGACGCTTGGCTGCTAGGACATGGCAATAACACAAACACACCCCAGAGTGTGAAAATAGGGATGGGCTTTGGGGATTTTTTGGACTAGAAATTGCATCATTCCCCTTTCTGGGAGTTCTACCTGACTTAAACACACCATTGCATTCAATCTTTTGTACAGAATGATGGGCAGTATCATGAGTCCGTTCAGTAGCCAGTTGCTGCGGGCTGACTAAAGATTGATTGATTAATTGATCAACTGATTGATCTATCCTGCCTTTCTCCCCTGGGAAAGGGAACCAAGGTGGCATCCAAAAATAGTGAAAAATACATAACTCATTCAAAACATACCAATGAAGATTTCAAGTTGCAAGCGACAAATATATAAAGCCTACAAAATATTTTATATTATAAATTATAATCTATATTATA